TAATAATAATAATAATTTAATGTTAATAATGATAACAATGTTAATAATAATAATAATAATGAAAATAATAATAATAATGATAACATTATTTTTATCTATAATAATGAAAAAAAATTGAAAATGAAAAAAAAAAAAAGAAATTTGTTAGCAGTGTAAGATTAGCATATTCTCTATGCACACCTGAGATTTACTGTGCTGCTTCTCCTCCACAGCTGCCTGACTTCAGATCTTCAGCGCTGCTGGGAGCCGCTGGGTCTTTAGACTTCAGGTCGGATCCGTTCGGAGGCATCACTCAGCTGCTGTGTGGAAGCAGATTGAACAAAACATCCAACATCACCAGCAGATCAACAACAACAGGATCTGACCAGCAAAACACACGCGCCGCAACCGCAGACAACAGCAACTCGACCAGCACCAACACCAGTAAGGGCTGATTCACGTCTACCATTCAAATAGCTAAATTCATTCATTCATTGTCTTTTCAGCATAGTAGTAGTCTCTTTATTAAACAGGGGTCGCCACAGTGGAATGAATCGGCAACCTATCCAGCATATGTTTTTAATGCTGCGGATGCCCTTCCAGCTGCAACCCATCTCTCGGAAACATCCACACACACTCATTCACACTCATACACTACGGACAATTTTTAGCCTACCCAATTCCCCTGTACAGCATGTCTTCGGACTGTGGGGAAAACCGGAGCACCCGGAGAAAACCCACGCAAACGCAGTGAGAACATGCAAACTCAAAACAGAAACGCCAACTGACCCAGCCGAGGCTCGAACCAGCCAGCGACCTTCTTGCTATGAGGTGACAGCACTACCTACTGCGCCACTGCGTCGCCCTATAGCAGAGCATGTCCTGGCAGTTTATCATAATTATTGTAGAGCGATATACCACACCAACCTGATTATATATCACTTCAAACTGTTAAAAATGTTTGAGGTGAATTCACTTTTTGAGGTTAGAAGTTTAGATTAGAAGTTTTAAAGTTCCATAATGCAATTTAAAAGGATAAATAAACTAATAATAAATAATAATAATAATAATGAAAAAGACAATAATAACAATAATAATAATAATAATAATCATAATCATAATCATCATAATATAATAATAATAATAATAATAATAATAATAATCATCATCATCATCATCATCACCATAATCATAATCATCATAATATAATAATAATCATAATAATCAAAATAATAATAATCATCTTCATCATCATCATCATAATCATAATCATCATAATATAATAATAATCATAATAATCATAATAATAATAATAATCTTCATCATCATCATACTCATAATCATCATAATATAATAATAATCATAATAATAATCATCATCATCATAATATAATAATAATAATAATAATAATAATAATAATAATAATAATAATAATCATCATCATCATCATCATCATAATATAATATAAACAATAATAATTATAATAATAATAATTATTATTATTATTATTATTATTATTATTATAAAAATAATAATAATAATAATGATAATAATAATAATAATGGTAATGACAATAATAACAATAATAATAATAATAATAATAATAATAATAATGATGATAATGATAATACTACTACTACTACTAATAATAATAATAATAATAATCATCATCATAATAATGATAATAAAATAATAATGATAATAATAATAATAATAATAATATTGATAATATAATATTAATAATAATAGTAATAAAAATGTAATAATAATATTAATAATAATAATAATAATTATAATAATGATAATACTAATGTTTTTAATAATAATAATAATAATAATCATCATCATCATCATCATAATCATAATCATCATAATATAATAATAATAATAATAATAATAATAATAATAATCATCATCATCATCATAATCATAATCATAATCATCATAATATAATAATAATCATAATAATAA